GCCTCTCAAGGGCTGAAATTTCAGGCCCACATTCCAACATTCCGTGCTCCACTGTTCCTCATTCTCTCAAGTGACTACAACCCCATCATTCAAGCCTCGCCTTGGTGATGGCTGTGCAGCTTTTTCCAGTTGGCTCCCCTTCTCAGACATTCGTTATTTCCCACGTTTGAGGACTCATCCTTAGGACAGATTCCTGAATGGAAAGTGCTGTCTCATGAGGTCCCAGAGGCACGAGGAATTCATAGTTTATCCAGCCATTCTTCCAGCTGCTGTTTATTAGCACTGTTTTCTGGTTGCTCTCTCAAACAAGCTGACACCACACTGTGGCAAGTCCTCCTTGAGCCCTTGGCTGCCCAACCATGCTGGGAGCTCACTCTTCCAAAGAAACATAACAAATTTCTGACCTTTTCTAAAAACAAATAAATAAATTTTAAAGTATTTTTATTCATGTGTGTGTGTGTGTGTAGGTTTGGAGGTCAAAAGACAACGTTTGGGAGTCAGTTCACCTCCTCCATCACGTGAGTCCCTGGGATTGAGAGAAGGACCTGAGTTCATCAGGCTGAGTGGCAGGTACCTTCACCAGCTGAACCATCCCACAGGCCTTTTTTATTTTATTTTTTATCTTATGTGCATTAGTGTTTTGCCTACATATATGTTCGTGAGAGAATGGCACTGGAACTGGAGTTAGCCACAGCACTGAGTTGCCATGTGGATGCTGGGAATTGTACCAGAATCTTCTGGAAGAGCAGTCATTGCTCTTAACCTCTGAGCCATCTCTCCAGCCCCCACCTCACCCACCCACTCACAGACACACGTGTGCGCGCGTGCGCACTCACACACAGACACATGCACACACATTGAGTCTTTAAAACTGACAAGGCAGAAGCTCATGCAATTCAGTCTGGCCCCAAACTCATTATGTAGCTAAGGATGACCTTAAACTTCTGTTCTTCCTCTGTGTACCTCCCCAGTGCAGACAGACAGACAGACTAAGCTGGAGAAATGAGTTAGCAGTTAAGAGCACTTGTTACTTTTACAGAGGACCCAGGTTTGGTTCCCAGCACCCACATGGTGGCTTACAACCATTGGTAACTCCAATTCCAGGGGATCCAATGTCCTCTTCTGGCCTCTTTGGGCACCAGGTACACACAGAATACACTTTCATGTATGCAGGAAAAGTTTATGCACACAAAATAAAAATAAATTTAAAAAGATAAAAAAGATTGTTTATCTTTTGCACCTCATCATCCTGGATAGGAGGCTGGGGCAACAAGATAGGAGTATCCTGAGTTCCAAGCCAACCCAGACTACATGGCAAGATGATCTCAAAAGCAGTAGTAGTAATTTCTCATATGAGATAATGTCATGCATTTATATTGCATATCTCCTTGTCCCCACCGCTAAAATAAAAACTGCCCGGGACAAAGCCTGTTTCTGTCTCTGTAATATCTCAGCACTGCCCAGGCCCTGGCACCTAGTCCTTCAGATAATTTGCTTTGTTGAGATGGGGCCTCATATGACCAGGACATGAAGACAATTCTTAGCTTAGGATGACATTTAACCTCTGACCCTTCTTCTGAGAGCTGAGATTATGGGTTTGTCTCCACACCATGCTGGCTCCCCACTGATTCTTGGGTAAGTTTCCTAAAGTCATGGCAGACAAGGAACTAAAGAAGGGATGGTGTAGAGGACCCACAGACTTTGTGATTCTAGATTCTAGCCACAGTCGCTACACACTACCGGCTGTGCCTTTGGTCCAGTCTTTACCATTGAAGACCTCCAGGCTCATAGACCCTCACGGCAGGCGATTCTTGGATCAGCTTCTGTACAAGTGGCTGCCAGAGTTCAGTAGGAGGTTTCGAGACCCGCTGTAGCCAGGATAGTGTGGTTGCACCCACAGACTCCTGTGTCTCTCTGCATCAGGGTGGAACGGCGGTGCAGGGTGTGGGTGCGGTGAACCCAGAGTGAGACACAGGATCACATCAGCCCTGAAACCCGGATCTCGGTCCCTGGCTTCCCAGGCCCTCCCCAACGACCGCGAGGGAAGGATGCAGGAAACTGCTCTGTAGGTTTTTCCCAGGCCCCCGCCCCACTCTCGCGAACATCTGGTCACAAACATCTGCCCTTCGCCTTTGTCGCACAGCCGGGGCCAGCCTCGCACCCATCTGCCGCCGCCCCCGGCGCCCGCCCCATCTGTGCCCTGCCTCGTCCTGGAGGCCGGTCCGTTCCCACGTCCAGCGCGCGCAGTCCGGGATCCCATCTGCCCTGGCCGGTGCCTTGGCAGGGAATGATAACAAAGCCGGGGTGCGAACCTCTTCCAGGCCCGGTCTTACTCAGTCCCAAATCGCAGCAGGATCAGTTGGGACCAAGGTCCAGGTCTGTCTCAGTTCTGAGCAGTGAAGACTTGGGCCGGAAGTGACTGGCCTTGGTTGTAGGGTTTTTTGTTTGGTTGGTTGTTTGGTTTGTTTGTTTGTTTTTGTTGGTTAGGTTTTTGGTTGTTTTTGAGGTGGTGCCATTAACTTGTCCTGTACTGGGTTTCTTTGCTACCCTACCTCTAGAGTTTAGGCACAGGCAATTACTTGCTACCTTAATGGACGGGGATGATCTTGAGCTTCATATCCTCCTGCCTCATCTCCCGAGTGCTGACATCACAGACACGGACCACCATGCCTAGGTTATGCAGTACTGGGGGTCAAACCCAGGCCCTCATGAATGTTAGGCAAGCACCCTACCAACTTAGCTACATCATTAGCCACCTCATACTTTTCTTTTCTTTTTTTTTTTAACTTATTATTATGTATGAGCTGCGTGTCTATGGTGGAGTCAGGGAGGGATAAATTCATGCCAGTGCCCATGCAGGAATTACAGGTGGCTGTAAACCGTTGTGTGGTGCTGGGATTCCTACTGGAGCAGTATAGGCTATCCAGGGAGCCAGTCCCTCCTCTTCCTTCTGTAAGGACTGATCAGACTCCAGAGAGCTTTGCCCCTGTACCTAGCACTCCCTTTCCTCCAAGGCTGGTTGGGGAGCACCCCTACATCCATTGTCTATCATGAGTTGAGCATGTTTTCTTCTAGGCCGTGCTTCTATTTTTGCTGTTGTTGTTTTTGTGTTTCAAGACAGGGTTTCTCTGTGTTAACAGCCCTGGCTGTCCTGGAACTCGCTCTGTAGACCAGGCTGGCCTCAAACTCACAGAGATCTGCCTGCCTCTGCCTCCTGAGTGCTTGGATTAAAGGCGAGCGCCACCACTGCCTGGCTGTTATGAATCTTACTGTAAACATCTGTGTTTTCTGATGGTCTCTGCGACCCCTGTGAAAGGGTCATTTGACCCCCAAGGGGACATGACCCACAGGTTGAAAAGTACTGCTTTAGACTTTGCTGTACAGAAACATCTTGGCGTTGCTGGAGAGGTTTTTGTGTTTGTTTTTCCTGTCGTTCTGCATTTGCCCTTAGCAAGAGTCTGTCGTGTATCTGCTGAGTGCCCTCATCCCTCTAGCATGCCCAGATGGAATGTTGCACAGTTGGCCATTGTCACTTCATTTCTGTCCTGTGGAGGACAAGGAGTATTCCGTTGGAGGCTACTGGGCAAGTGCCCAGGGCCCCAGCCCACATCTGCAGCGGGTGGTGTGAAAGACTCCGGGTTTGTCCGTGGGAGTGAAAGCAGCGAGCCTCTGGGTCACAGGGTATTTGAATGTTCACTTTTACTCCTTGCTGCCACAGAGCTACGAGCGATCCTACCAGTTTCCACGCCCACCAGCAGAGGACCAGAGGTTTCCTTCTCCCACACTGTCGCCAGTGTTTTAAATTACCTGCCTTGAAAGGGCTTTGAAGTGTGGCGTGGCCATTGCTCTGCAGATGTCTAGAAACTTTTGCCTCAATGGGGCAGCAGCTTCCTCTGACAGGAAGACCCCTTTGACTTCTGTGGACTGTCTCCCATAGACCCCTGGGTTTCTCCATCACAACCTGGGGAACTTGAGAGATGATGGCCTCATTATAGTCTGTCTCTCCCACCAGACTATGAGCTCCCCAGACAGGGACCAGAGTTTCAGAGCTACTGAATCCGCCGTGAAGAGTACACAGGCACTATAGATAGTGTTCTTGCAGGAGTTTCCCCTACTCAGAACATAGGGCTTTCACGATTCTATGAAGTGTGCTGTTGAGGTGACAATGGCCAGCTCCAGACAGCATCTGTGTGTCCCAAATTGTTCCCATTTGGTTACTCCCAGCTGAACGAATGGAGCTCCCTTAAGTCATGGAGCCAAGTCGTTCCCTGTGGTGCAAGTGTGAGCCACGGAGTTACTGTGGAATAAGTGGCCATGGTAGAGCCTCGAAGAGAGATAGCATAGTTATGGGAGCGAGAAATAAAACGCAGCGTGTACTGAAGGCTGACTTTGCTGGAGGCTTTTCCAAGACCCTCACTGGCCCAATCATTTCACCCTCACAGAGGTGGAGCATCTGCCGTCCGTACTCTCACAGGTAAGGACACAGAGACGTGACAAAATCATCTGGCCCAGTCCTGTGGAGTCAAACAGATTCTTGGGGCCCCTGAGACACCCAGAATAAAAGCTCCTTAAATGTCCCCGGATGTCTTCTTCACTATTTTTTTGTGGTGGTGGTGTTTGTAACAAGCTCTCCCGTTGTTGCCCAGGCTGGCCTGAACTCACTATGTAGCTCAAGCTAGCCTTGAACTAAAGGTAGCCCTCTTGTCTCAGCTTCCCAAGTGCTAGGATTGCAGGTGTGAGCCAGCAAGTCCAACTTCCTGGATGTCTTAACTTCCTTTCAACCAGCTTTCAACTAGTACATCACCGCTTTGGCCTCGGTAAAATGATAATGGTACTTTAAAAAGAAAAGTAGGAAGGCATTGTGGTGAGTCACACATAGTGTCTGAATCCAGCCGTCCTTCCTTGGGGCCCCCGAGAAGAGGGAGTAGCTGGAGGTGCCACCCCTTAGTGACAGGATACTCAAGGTTGGGTGGAGCAAGACAGGAAGGGGGTGCTCAATGCTTTGAAGGATGGGCAGGGAGCTGGGTGGGGTCCTATGAAAGCCTCAACCTCAGCTGCTCCCCTGGTTCCAGGCCCTGGAGCAGAGGGAGGGGGAACCCAGGTGTATGGGAGGCAGGTGAGTCAAAGGAAGGCCAGGTCATGTGCTAGGGAGGGAGGGGTGCTGCTTCCTTGATGAATGCTCTGGAGGCTCCTGTCCGTCCCCAGTGGGTGCACGCAGAAGCAGAAACCGCTGGGGCCCCACCCAGAGGCCTCTTGTGCAATCTCCTCGTCCCATCCTCCCACCTCTGCTGGGCTTTGCTTAGGCTGCAGCCTGAGAGCCCCACTACACTCCAGGGTCAGGCTAACTCCTACACCACAGTCCTGGGAAAGAGCTAGGCCTGCATGCGTGGGCGTGAGACTCCTGAGGTCTGGGTAGCTATGGCTGCGTGTCTGTGGGGCCTTTGAGGCCTTCTGAAGTAAATATTCATGTTGGGGGCCAAGGGGCTGTGCATGAGTACAAATGCTTGCGGCTGGGAGTGTGGGGGGGTCTTTGGGTTTTTTTTTTTTTTTGCTTGTTTTAATTTTAAACTCCTTAGAATCTATTGATCTGTTCTTTGTTTTTGTTTATTGTTATTTTGAGACAGCGTCTCCATAGGCAGTCTAGGCTAGCCTTGAACTCACGATCCTCCCAAGTAGTGGGATTACAGTTGCTTGCTATCATCCAGCCAACATGGAATCTTCATCCTGGTATGGGTTGACATGGCCGGGCAGAAGCACTGTGATAGATACCTCGAAGAGGAGTTCTTGTCACAGCTATGGGCCTTGGTATGACTGGGAGGCTTTTGTTTGTTTTTTGATGTTTTCATTTTTGCTTTGACTTTTCTTTTTTTATTTCTTGAAGACAAGGTCTCACTCAGCATGTAGCCCCTGTTGGCCTGGAACTTAGAAACTTACTATGCAGACTGAGCTGGCCTCCAATTCCCAGTGATCTTTCAGAAGCCTCCCGCATGCTGGCACATGAGGCCAGTGAGTGCTTGGTTCCTTTTGGTTTTGCAGTGTTGGGAATGGAACCTAGGACCTCCTGAGTGCTCCAGCCACGCTCTGCCCCAAGCTATGGCCCAGGCTGTGGATGGTTCTTTGGAAGTGTGTGTTGTGCTAGTGGATCCGGGTGGTGCAGGGGAGGAAAGGTGTGTCCCTCTGTGTGTTGTTTGGGTTCCTGGGCTGGCTGCATGTGCTGTGTGCGTCTGGGATGAGGGCAACCATTCTGTGGTTTGTGTGTCGCCTCTTGAGTGTCTTTTCCAGTGTGCTGGCTTTGTGTAGATTTTTGTAGTGGTGTTTGTAGATACATGTTAATGTGCATCTTGGCAGGTTGCCCCTTTGGTTGTGTGTACAAGTGTGCTGCTGTCGTGCTGGCTGTGTCTGTTGCACACTCATGTGGTGCTAGATCGGTCCACCTATATTCTGCTGTGTGGATGTATGCATACAACAGTGTGCTGCCCTAGGGTTTGGTAGCTGAAGATAGAAGCTCCCTGGCATAGGTTCTGCCCTTTCTCCTTGTCACTGGAGACACTGGGGGATGGTGGCAGCAGCCCTTTGTCCAGCCACAGGAAGGCCCCACCCCCTTCATCTGCAGGGACCTGGGGAGGGGCCCAGACTACCAGGCTCCAGACTCCCGCCCATTGTTCTAGGGCCTCTTTGGGAAACCAGGGTGGATGGTAAAATGTGGGTCCAGGCCTGGGCCATCACACTCCCTAGAACCACCCAGAGACCCAGCTGAGAACCTTTAGGGTAAGGCTGGCTATGCACCCCATTGTGCAGATGGAGAAATTGAGTCCAGAGCAGAAAGAGATGATTCCGTGAGTGGTAAGGTCAGAGAGGTCACAGCCTTCACGTACTTCATTGTGCAAACCACCCCCCCCCTCCACTCCACCTCCCTCAACCCCCTTGGGCCACAACCTCCTGCTGGATCTGGGGGCTAGATAAAGGAGATCCCAGAAAAGATACAAAACTGTCTGTCCCGGCTCTAAAATGGGACTAAACATTAACCCTAACTCTGGATTAAGTTCAACTTTTAAACTTAATCTTGTTATTATATTTTATTTATTTCTCTAGAGTGTATGCATTTGTGTGGAGGGCACAGAACAACTTGTAAAAGCTGGGTTTCACCTTCTCTCGTGTGGGGTCGTCCCAAGAACAGAGCTCAGCTTGTCAGTCAGGCCTGGCCCCAAGCGCCTTTCCCCTTTTCCACTGTGCCATCCTCACAGACCCAAGTTCAATTTTTGTCCTCATTTTGCAAATGAGCAAACTGAAGGCCTTAGGGTAACAATTCATTATTTAACTCAATTTATCTAAAAATGTATTCAGCTCCAAGTACTACGCTGGGTGACTGTGAGCAAGCTGCTCACCTTTTCTGAGCTATGCACTTCTTCAGTGATTCACTGATCCTGCTCTCCTGACCCCCTCAACAGGGTCGGACTATGCGATCCAGGATGGCCAGAAGCGTTCAGCTCTCTGGCTGCCTCTGCCTGAGTGCTGGGATTACAGGTTCACCCTGCCCCGTGAATCCTCCTTGCTTTCTAAAGCTCACAGTGCCACGGGCGGAAGATGGGAACAGGAAGGAAGTGGGAAAGAGAGCACAAGACAAAGATCACTTAGATAGTAAAGAGAATCGCCGAGGGTGTTCCAGGTCTCCAGTGAGGAGGGACCTTTGACCTGGGACCTCGGGGTGACACCCTTGCAGAGATCTGCCTGGTAAGTGCTCTAGGCTGAGGGCACATCCAGGGCAAGGGCTGCGAGGCGGCCGGATGGAGCTGGTTAGAGGAAGGCAAAGGCTGGAGAGAGAAATGGGAGGGCAGGACGTGGGTCGGGTGGGGGTGGGGTGAGTGAGGGGGATAAGTTTGGGATCTGTTCTTGGTGAGATGGGCACAGACACTGTGTTGGCTGAGCCAGAGTCCTAGGGGTGGGATGGGGAACGCTGTAGTCTCTAGTTACAAGCAGGGGTGGGGACAGCCAGAGCCCAAGGTCTTTCCCCAAAGCTCCCTCAGTCCCAGCCCAGAGGCGCCGGCCTGGCTGCTGGAAGACTTCGCTGTGGGCACATCTGGGGAGCAGCTGCCGGGCCAGGGCCAGACTAGGTCACGTGGCACCAAACAGGCCCGCCCTGGAGCCTCCAGAGCCAAGACTATGGGAAAGGGCAGTTGAGGGATGACTGGAAGTGCGTTCGTCCACGGAGACACACGGCAGTGTGGATTTCCCCGCAAAGTCTCCCCTACACCCCACAGAGGCCGTGCCACCTGCACACGGTGTGCTCTAAGCTCGCCATTCTGTAGGTAGGACATGAGGTGACTGCTTACTCCAGGGGCTGTTGATTCCTTGCAGCGACTGGTCCCTGCGCCTCTCTGATGGGCGAGCCCTGTAAAGATCGCAGCGCTACAGCGCTGGATGGAACAGCTGGGCCCCTGCCCTCCCGAGCTCAGGCTTAGGCTAATACTAAGGACAAGGCCTGACGCAGAGGGAGCACTCTGAGCCATTTGCATGACAGAAAGGGAGGCCCTGTGACAGAAATCACACTGAAGAAGCTTTCCCTGGCAGGTGTGATGGCACACCTGCAGCCTTGCCTAATGGTGCCCTGCCTACATTCAGCATGCTTCTCCTGTGCCTCCCAGAGAGTACGGGAGGAAGTTTTCATCTTGACTGGATTTAGAGCTAATTAAGAAACACACCTCTGGGCGTGTCTGTGAGAGCCATATCAAAAATTGAGCTGAGAAGACCCAAGGTCCCAGACTGGAAAAAAAAAAAAAAGGAAAGTGGATTTTGAACTTTGCACAGGCATTGTTTCTCTGTTTCCTGACTGGATATGGGGTGACCGGCTACTTCACACTGCCGTGCCTTCCCCACTCTGATGGACCACGCTCACACTGCCATGCCCTTCCCCAATCCGAAGGACTGTCTCCTGCGGGCCAAGAGAAACCAGTTCTTCCCTGAGTCGTTTTGTAAGGTACTTTGTCACAACAGTAAGAAAATTATCTAACAGAAGAAATCACCCCAACCAGGAAGCCTCCACCCTGTCACTGTCAGGCACAGCGACACACACTTAGTTCCAGCACCAGGCACTTGGTGGTCTCAGTGCAGTGACTGTCACCTGCAGTCCCAGCTGCTGCAGAAGGATGGCTTAAGCCCAGAAATTGGAGACCAATCTGAGTCACACCTCAAAAAAGAAAAAAGGAAAGAGTACTAGGGGGCTAAAGAGATGCTCAAAGGTTAAGAGCACTGGCTGCTCTTCCAGAGGATCCAGGCTTGGTTCCCAGCACCCACGTGGTGGCTCACAACTGTCCATAACTCCAGTTCCAGAATATTTGTCAACCTCTTCTGACCTCAGAGGGCACAGGCACCAGGGACTCACATGGTACACAGGTGTACACACAGGCAAAAAGCATCCATATACATAAAATAAATACAAGGACTGCAGGGCTGTAGCTCAGCTCACTGAGAACTTCCCTGTTGCACAAAGCCCTGGGTCTGGGTGCATAAAGCAGACTTGGTGGGGCATCTCTATAATCCCAGATCTTAGGAAGATCAGATATACAGTTAAGTGGAGTCTAGTCCTGAGACCCTGAGTTCAATCCCCAAAGCCACGGTGGAAGGAAAAGACCACGGTGGAAGGAGGAAACCATGGTGGAAGGAGAGAATCAACTCCTACAAGTTGTCCTTTGACCTCCACATACAGAGCCTGCACACACGGGTGCTTACACACCCTCAGACTTCAGTTTTGGGGTTCTAATTGTCCCTTCATTTCTGTTTTCCCTACTGTGTTAAAGCATTCTTGGCCTTGATCTCATCTCAGCAAGCACCGGGCCCAGAGGTAGGAACTAAGCCTGTGAGGTGAGGTGGACCTCTACACAAAGAAGTATAGAAATAAATTTTTCTTTTCCCCCCCTCTTTTCCAATCTATTTCTTCCTCTTTTCCCTGTTTCTATTGAGTGTGAACCCAGGGCCTGCAACACACTAAACACTTGCTGCACCATGGAGCTACACCCACAGCCCTATGTAAGTTTCTGTTCAAAAACACATTCGTAGACAGGTATGGTGGTGCGTGCCTTTAATTTCATCATTCCGATTTCTATGAGTTTGAGGCCAGCCTGGTTCGAGAGTGCCAGGCCAGTCAGGGCTACACAGGGAGAGAGCCTGTCTCAAAAACAGACACATGCATTCAGAACATGCACACACCCGAACTCCCAGCACTGGGGTTTGGAGATGCAGAGGCCAGTGTCAGGAGTTTATGGATGAACTTTAAGCTTTGGCTACATGGTGTGTTTGAGGCCAGACATGAGGCTCTGCCGGAGGAGATGGAAGAAAGAAAGAAAAAAGACCTGTTGCCGGCCTTGTTCTCTTAGCCTCCGAGGCACAGTGCCAATCCTCTTGAGTTACATAGTTTTTCTCCCTCTGCCTTTGGTGATACTGAGAGTTGAATCTAGGTCTTTGCACATGCTAAAAAGCATTCCACCACTGAGTTATACCTCCAGCCTCTTACTTACCACCCCCAAGACTGCCCTGGAACTCACTCTGTAGTCAAAATCAGCCTCCCACCTGCGGTGGTCTCCTAGCCGCTTAGGCTTCCTGGTGCAAACCATCAGGCTTGACCCTTTAACAATTTTTAAATTTTGGGCCAGGTATGGTAGTACGTGCCTTCAGTCATAGTACTTGGGAGAAAGAGGGGATCTCTGCGAGTTCAAGGCCATCCTGGGCTACATAGTAAGCCCCATCAAAATCAACAAATTGAATGTTTGTATTTTTCCTCCTAAAATTTAAAATTTGAGATCTTCCTCAATTGCTCTGCCCAACCTTGAACTCAATGAATAACCTAGACAGGCTTCAAACTTGCAATCTGTCTTCCGCAGCTCCCAAAGACCCCTGCTAGGATTGCAGGGCTGGTGCCTCTATGTGCCCGCCTCTTGAGACAGCACAGCGGTGAATATCTCTGAGCGGGGAGCTCTGTGTCTGTCAGTGTAGGTTTCACAGGAACTGACTACAGTAGGATCTGTGGGGTAATGAATGATTTGTTGTTAGCAATTAATTAACAATCCATTTCCCTTCTCCGGTGGCCCAGTGCCTTTCCAGACCTTTAAGCAACTCTCTCTCTTTTTTAATTACTTATTTAATTTGATGTTTTTATTTATTTTGTGTCTAGGAGGAGGTGTCTTGTGCATGAGTGATGAGCATGTGGAAGGCAGAGGACAACCTGCAGGGCTCAGCTCTCTCCACGTGGCTTCTGGAGATAGAACTTCTGCCTCCAGGCTTGGCTGCAAAGTTCCTGCACTTAGTGAGCCATAGCTCCACCAACCCCAAGCAAGTCTTCTGAGCAGTACAAAGTTCAAACCTACCATGATATGATTGTTAGCTGTTTGGGGAACACCGGAGTCTGTGAGGAGTTGGGGAGGAGGGAATTCAGCTCCTTATTGACATGTTGCTTTTTCTTTTTTCTTTTTTTAGAACAGGCTGACCTTAATTAAATTCCTAATCCTTCAGATCCTTCTGCCTCATTGCTTGGGATTACAGATGTGACAGTCTCTCCTTTAAAGCTGGTCTCACTAGTCAGTTTTCCTGGTTTTCTGAGGTGCAGCAGGCACTGGGCTATTCCTGGTTCCGTCAAGTACTTGTATGAATTCGTTGCTGTGGGGTCATCACCCTCTCCTAGGGAGCATATAGTATTTCATCCTTTTCTCAAGGTAGTTTTGACTGAGAAGTGACGAGCCTCAGTTTCCTGCCTCTGGTTATCTAGGGCTCTGGAGTCAGGTGGCCTGCCTGTCCTCTCTAGGAGGGCGAGTGAGGGACAGGCCCTCACCTACCTATACCACACACCAGCCTGGAGCTTGAGGTCAATGTGTGGTTTAGGATAAACTCCTCCCCTTCATGTCCTATATATGAAGACGTTTCAGGGACAATAGCTAAGGGTCCTGGGAGGTTTTAACCCAGTTCTTTTGTAAATAAAGAGAACTGGACAGATGAAGACCAACTTCCCACAGCTCCAGTTACGAAAAAGAGCGACTGGTCTGTGGGTATTAGAGACACCAGACAACGTAACATGCACCTACACGGCGACCCTTCTATCTTTTTCAGGTCTCAGACTCTCCTCCACTTTAAAGGAAGACATTCCAGGTATCACTTTCTGTTCAACAGGGGACCAGGACCCTAGGAACTTCCACGTTCATTTTCTGGAAACTGAGTCAGCCTCTGAGTCCAGAACAAAAGAGGCCTGCTTTAAAATATGTCTCAGAACAGGACGCGACAGAGCACACCTATAATCTCAGTGTGGGAATCCAACTCAGCTGGGGAGGGGCCTCGGTCGTGAGGGGTTTGGGGTGGAAGGGTGTGAGAAAACATCCTAAACCACCCGAGCTGTGGGGCTGGGTGGAGGAGACTCAGCAGGTGTGGGGCGGGGAGGTAAGTTGACCCTTGGTCAGCGACCGCACCCACGAGGAACGCATTCCCAGGCCTCCCGCCCAAGGTCTGCAGGTGACAGGCTCCTGGGAGGGGGGCGCGAAGTGGGGAATGCTCCAGCCCAGTTTGCCGTCTCCATGGCGACCGCCCGCGCGGCGCCAGCTTGACAGCCCGTCCGGGTTTTATGAATGGGTGACGTCACGGGCCTGGCGTCTAACGGTCTGAGCCGCTTGTTGAGACGCTGACACAGACCAGCCCGGGAAAGGAAAGGGAGGGGGTGATCTCTGCAGCTGCTGCTTTGTGGGAGGGAGAGCTTACTCCGAAGGTTTCAAGAAAAAAAATCTAGCAAAATGAGGAGAAAAAAATTTAAAAAAAAATCACCCCAGCTGCTGTAGATTTGGGACCTTTCTGCAAAAGGCTGCAAACCCAGGGTAGAGCTGGGGGATGTCGTCCCACTCTGCAGCGACCCTTCTATCTAGTTCAGTCTCAGACTGTGTCCTCAGATGTTTCTGGTATAGCTCCCAGTTCAACGGACCAAGGTCCTGATCTAAAAGACTTTACGGTTCATTTTCTGGAAATTGGGATCAGCCCCGAAGTTCAGAGTAAAAGAGGCTCTGCTTTAAAATCTGTCTCGACATGGTATGGCAGAGCACACCTGTACTCTCAGCCCCAGGAAAAGTGCAGCCAAGAGGATCAATCAAGGTCATCCTCCTCCGCTACATAGCAAATTCTGAGTCCAGCTTAGGTTACAGGAGACTCAGTCTCAAGACAAACAAACAAAACAAAACAAAACCCTCAAAAATAAATAAATATAAAAGTAAGTTCAGCTTTGATAACTGGAGATCATAACCTAATCTTCTGACAGCATCTGGAAATCCTAAATCAGTCCTTAGCCACTGGTCACCCCAGAGCCAGCCATTCCTCTGTCTCTGTTTCTCTCATCTGCAAAATAGACTTGGAGAAGCGAGAGAGAGACCACGAGAAGCTGATTCCTGGGGTCTTTTTGTTATCCGCAAAATTGGCTTAGGCTCTTTGCTCCCTTCGGGAGGAGTCCACTAGCCGCTCTGCCCAAGCCCTCCCACCCTCTCTGTTCTTGAGCCCCATCACCTTTCCACCAACCCAGGGGTGCACGGAGCTGGGACTCAAGGGCGCGCTAAGCCACGCCTCCAGACAAACCATTGGTTGCTTTTGAACGTTCTGAACCCGCCCTGGGTCCGCCCTTATAAAAGCCTGGCTCCAGCGCACAGCCCTCTCATTGTACTACCTTCCTTCAACTTCTGCGCTCTCTTCCTGCACTCCCTTCTTAGGCACCTCCGCTTCTCTCCGCCTGTCCTCAGGATCATGAAGGTCGCCAGTGGCAGCGCCGCGGCCACCGCGGGCCCCAGCTGCTCGCTGAAGGCGGGCAGGACCGCGGGCGGCGCGGGCGAGGTTGTGCTCGGTCTGTCCGAGCAGAGCGTAGCTATCTCGCGCTGCGCCGGGACGCGCCTGCCTGCCCTGCTGGACGAACAGCAGGTGAACGTCCTACTCTACGACATGAACGGCTGCTACTCACGCCTCAAGGAACTGGTGCCCACCCTGCCTCAGAACCGCAAAGTGAGCAAGGTGGAGATCCTGCAACACGTTATCGACTACATCAGGGACCTGCAGCTGGAGCTGAACTCGGAATCCGAAGTCGGGTCAGCCGGAGGCCGGGGACTGCCCGTTCGGGCTCCGCTCAGCACCCTGAATGGCGAGATCAGTGCCTTGGCAGCCGAGGTGAGCTCCGAGTCGGAACATTACATTATTCTCCTGTGAATGGGGAAACTGAGGCCACGGGGAGGGGTTAGCAGTATGTCCCCCTTGCTTTTCGGGTGCGTGGCTATTTAGGGGCGCCTAATAGGAAATAGCTGGCTCCTTCATCGTGGAGCCAGCATCATCCTTCCATCCTGTCTCATGCCTTATCTCGCTCTGGTGTTCACAGGCGGCATGTGTTCCAGCCGACGATCGCATCTTGTGTCGCTGAAGCGACACGCTGAGGGACCAGACGGACTCCAGCCCTTCTGGAGGCAAGAGGAATAAAGTGTTCTCGGTTCTCCAAGGGAGCCCGGGGAAAGACTTCCGCGGCCACCGGACTCTTGGCGGATATGGCCAGGGGGCTAGAGGGTTGACCAGCGGAGGCTCACCCTCTCTCCAAGACCTTAGACCTTTCAGCCTCCAGAGACTTTGGGGGAGGGGGTTAACCAACCCCGTGTGTTTCTATTTTTTGAAAAGCAGACATTTTTTTAAATGGTCACATTTCGTGCTTCTCAGATTTCTGAGGAAATGTTTTGTATTGTATATTACAATGATCACTGGCTGAGAATATTGTTTTACAATAGTTCTATGGGGGTGGGCTTTTTGTTGTTATTAAACAAATACTTTAGATAACGTTGCAGTGACTTCTTGGATGGGGGGGCCTGGGGCAGGAGTGACCTCTGACCATTTTCACAGCTGGTGTTGAGAAGCGGGAATTGGAGGGCCACCTCTGGACTGTCATTCTTACCGATCTGAATGGGTGTTTCCGGTGTCTTTAATGACTATTCTTTTCCTCATCCCTGGCCATTTCCCTGTTCCCTAGTGTCATAAAATGAAATCCTCTAGACCTCTAGTAGGGTTTCTCAAAGTGGTCCCTAGGCCATCTGGATCACCCTGGGAGGTTGTTAAAATGCAGATGGACCCGCTGGGTTGGTCTGCTCGGGGCTGGGGAGTATTCAAGCCATTCAAGTTGGAAAAGCAGGTCACTGGACCATTCATTTCCTTGTCAATGGCAGGGGTGGGTGGGTGTGTGACTGTGTTGTGCTGAGACCTAGGGAAAGGGGCCTGCATAGGGTCATAGCTTGCCTGAAGGGAGACTTGTGTGACTCCCCCCCACCCCTTCCCTGCTGAGCCACCTTTCTCTGGATGCCAGCAGGCTGCCTTAGGGCTTCAGGCTTGTCCAAGTGGGTGATGAAATTGGCAGGGTTAGGCCGTGCACAGCTGCAGGGCCACCTGCTCTGGGTCTGAACTCAACCCCCTCACCCTGGCCTGGCTATGCTAGCAGACCGACATTGCTCCCTAGGCTACTGTGTGGGCGAGTCATGTCCCCAACTCCTGACAAGTAGAAAAGTTTCTTTCCACTCGGGTTCTCTCTACCTGGACGTGTGGCTTTGTGCTCAAAGGGGGAATGCACACATACGTGGGCTTGTCTGGGTACGACCTGAGGATCTCTGCAGGAGACGGGCATCTCCGCTGTGCAGGCTTGGGGTGGGCAGTGTATGTAGGTAGCAGGGCACACATGAGCGCATGGGTCCTGCAGATGAGGGTGTGCCCTCCAGCCCTTTGGGCTCTGCTTGGGTGCTTTGTGCTCCTCCTACCTGCTTGGCTCTGGGTTGGTAGGTAGTGTGCATGGTATGGGCTGTAGAGCCACACTGGGCTCCTTTGTAACTGTAGATTGCTTGGCGTTTCTAGGCCACCACTGCTCTAGGGCAACGGTGGGGCAGCTGTGTTTAGGCAAACCATTTCTCTCAAGTACAGTTCCCAACTCCCTGGCCAATTGTGAGTTAGACCTTGGGGACACCGTCCTTCAAGTATCTCTGCCAGGTTAATTCCCATGGGGAAATGGAGTCCTGGGAAAAGCAAAGACCTTGTCCCCCATAATAAGAACTAACAAATCAACCAGTTATACTAAAGCATGGTGCCAGACAGCCTGGTCCGTGTCGCTAGATCCAGGCAACCCAGAGTTACACAGGGAGACCTGTCTCAAATTACAAAATAAGGATCAAAACCCAATAACAATACCTAGAGCCAGGAGCCAGACCCGCTCCTTTGCTTGAAGGACATCATGGATCCTCACTGAGGTTAAAGGCAAAACTCTGAGCCCAATTATATCACTGAAGAAATACGCTGAACAAAAATAAAATTTGGAAATATTTACCGAGCACTTACATTAAGTTTAACACTAAGCCAGCTACATAAAAAGACCTCAAGCATTTGATGGACTTGACCAAGCAGTGTAGAATTTGTAGGTGGTTAAACCCTTTGCTGTGCCCTCTCCACCTGGCAGTTTTATAGTACTAACCTCACAGAATTGTCCAGAATAAATGAATCCAGCACAGAGTTTAGCACATTGCCTGGTACATAAGACAGTTAGAAATTATTAATCGGAGGCACACATGTGTGCACCCACTTCCTCACCATGTGAGAGTCCCCACACACACTTGCAAGCCCACCCACCGGGACGTGGGCGTGTTCCCCCCCGCGTGCACCTCTACCCTGCAGAGCCTTTTTCTAGCCCAGGAAGGGGCCGCTGCGCCCCTGGCCACTCCCCCCCACCCCCACCCCGCCATCCAGGCACACTCTGGCTTCCATGTTTCCCTCTCTTCCTCTTTGGCCCGGACCCAGCCCATCTGGAGGCCGGCTCCGCAGCGGCCTGGGAGCGTTTCCATCAGCTGGGCCCGAGGAATGCGGAGCTATTTAACCTGAGCATCCCCAGGTGTACGGAGGCGCCTGGCTGTCTGGGCCCGCCGACTTTGGCACGGCCGCGCTAGACAAACAGCGGCCGCCCCCGCCCTGCCCCTCCGCCCGCAGCTGCAGCCAGGCCTGGGAACCGGGCGGGCGCCGGCAGCTTGCATAAGAGATACCAAGGAAGGAGGGGGCCAGAGGCCACCAATGTGTATACATATCCCAGTTGTGTGTGTACCCCAGACCAAGGGCCAGAGGCCACCAGTGTGTGTGTGTGTGTGTGTGTGTGTGTGTGTGTGTGTGTGTGTGTGTGTGTGTGAGAGAGAGAGAGAGAGAGAGAGAGAGAGAGAGAGAGAGAGAGAGAGAGAGAGAGAGAACCCCAAA